TACAGGGTCTCTATGAGTCAGAACTGACTCCACAGCACATAACAACAACAAACCTAGTATATAGCCACAGAAGTCAAAGCAGCTGGGTACTGGTACAATGAAAGATACATATATCAAAGGAAAAGAATTGAGAACCCAGATATAAATCCATCCACCAGTTAATCTTCAACAAAGAGTCTCTTCAATAAATGGTGCTGGCAAAACTGGAAATCCATTTGCAGAAAAACAAAACAAGACACACATCTCACACCACCTATAATAATGAACTCAATGTGGACTAAAGAACTAAATGTAAAACCTAAAACCATAAAGATCATCAATAAAAAACTACAGACAAATTACAGGCTCTGATACATGGCACAAATACACTATCAAACATAACTGAAAACACACCAACAGAAGACAAAAAAGATGACTGGGACCTCCTAAAATTTAGACACAAATATCAAAAGATTTCACCACAAAGAAAGAAAAAAAAAGAAATGGACAGATTTCTAGAAACACCCAGCCAACCTAAACTGTCACAGAATGAAGTAGAAAATTTGAATAGGCCTATAACACAAAATTAACCAAGTCATTTAAAAATTCCCAACTAAAAAAAGTCCAGGCTCAGATGCCTATACTTGTAATTCTACCAAACAATCAGAGAAAAAGTGACACCAATTCTAGTGAAACTATTGCATAATATAGAAAAGAATGGAAAACCCCCAAATTCATTTTATGAAACAAGCATAACTCTGATACCAAAACAAGGCAAAGATATCACTAAGAAAGAAAATTATAGGCCAATATTTCTCATGAACATATATGCAAAAATTCTCAACAAATCCAGCAAATAGACTAGGATAATACATAAAAAAATTAATATATATCATGACCAAGTAGAATTCATACCAGGTATGCAGGGATGACTCAATATTAGAAAAACAATCAACCTAAACCACCACATAAATTTTAAATGGGTAAAAAAATCACAAGATCATGTTAATTGATGCAGAAAAGGCATATGACAAAATCCAGCCAGCCCTCAATCCTGATAACCAGCTCTGGTAGCATAGTAGTTACAAGTTGGGCTGCCAAACTCAAGGTCAGCAGTAAGAAACTACTAGCTGTTCTGTGGGAGAAAAAGGAGGCTTTCTGCTCCTGCAAAGATTTACTGCCTCGGAAACCCTATAATATAGGGTTGCTATGATTCAGAAATGATTCCAGAGAATGTCATCACCACCATCACAGTTAGCTGATCTTTGACAAAGCGCCAAAATGCACTAGTCTCTTCAACAATTGGTGCTAGCAAAATTGGAAACCCATTTGCAGAAAAATGAAGTAAGAACCATATCTCATACTACATACAAAAATGAACTCAATGTGGATTAAGGACTAAATGTAAATTCTATAACTATAATAGATAATCAATGAAAAATAGGGACAAACATAGGAGCCCTGATACATGCCATAAATACACACAAATAGAAGAAAAAAATAATAAATGACTGGGACCTCCTAAAAATTAGACACTGCTGTGCATCAAAGGACTTTATCTAAAGAATAGAGAACCCACAGACTATGAAAAAATATTTGGACATATCAGACACAGAATGGCTCTCTAATATTTATAGATAACTTCAACACCTCAGTAAGAGAAAGAAAAATAATCCAATTAAAAAATATGCAGAGGACATAAACAGACACTTCACCAAAGAAGACATTCTAGTGGCCAACAAACACATGAAGAATGCTCGTGATCATTAGCCATTCCAGACATGTAAATCAAAACAACAACATATCATCTTGTTGTGTTGTTGTTAAGTGTTAACAAGTTGGTTCAAACTCATAGTGACCCTATGCACAACAGAATGAAACCATGATGAGTCTTGCACCATCCTCACAACTGTTGTTACACGTGAATCCATTCCTTCTGCCAATGTGCCAATCCACCTTACTGGGGTCTTCCTCTTTTTCACTGACCC